TTTTTTTTTTTTTTGTCCATTTGTTAGTGTCCACCTAATAATTTGTTCAAAATAAGACAGGGTAATTTTTGAAAATGCTCTTTCAGTAACTTATTAATTTTAGCCACTGCACCAAGAGCAGCAGTAAAAAATAAAACTAGCTACTTTGCACATTTTCTGTAAGTAAAACTAACCAGCTTCCAAGACAGACTAACCTCCCCCTTGGTCTCACGGTAACAAAGAGAAATTGGAAATTCCAGATTTTGAACTTTGAGAGCAGGCACCTACTTGGCAAAGAGATTAAATTGAACCTGCAAGCCATAAATTATGCAGAGGGAATAAAAGGTAGAAGCCATGCTGTGAAAAATATTGCAGTTTGGACAGTCTGGTGAGTTTTAGGATTTTGTTTCTTTCCAGCAATTAAAGAGTTACTACAAAGTTTATTAAAACTGTTCCCTTTGGGGCTACTAAAATTACAATTGTTATGTTACAAATAATTTTAAGATAAAGTGCTGGTACTCAAAAACCCAAGGTCAACTACCCATTTAAAATTTAAAACAGCAGCCACTTAACATTATTCTGGTTGGCACGCATTCAGCCAATCCTTAGGCAGCCTCCAGGAGGGTGGCAGTCTGTGGTCCTTCTGAGGGGAGGCACCCCCTGGAAACATCCCAGGGTCCCCGGAGAAATTGGAGCCCTCAGGAGATCCGCTAACAATCACCCCTAAATTCACCTCTGAGTCCATCTCTGCAGGTAAGCCACTTTAACATCTATTTCTAGAAACTATCTGCAGACTCTAATGTAACTATTAATATTATTTTGTTGTGCTTATTTATTGTGAATTGTTGTGAAAATATGTAACTGTTTGTTAAATTCATTTATTGTAATTTGTATAAAGCCCTTAAGAACCTCCAAGAGGGGGGAGGGACAAGATGGCCGACAGGCACCAGCCTCCAACAGAAACTCCCATCCAGAGGGAATGATAATGTGCAGAACATACTCAATACTGTTGAAGATTGGGAGCTCAGCCAAGAGAGAAGAGTGATATTTGCAGGACACCGCTGCTGAGGCAAGTTGAGACTCCAAGAAAGCAATCTCCAGGTACATAATACACCCCAAAGGAAAAGTCTCCGTCCCCTACCCCAAGAAAGTTGCATTTTTCACTTTGTTTTCTCTTCATCTGCTCCTATAAGTTTTCTACAGGTGAATGGTGAACTGAGGACCTATTATCTCACCCCACATGTGAGAACTACAGGAAGGGGGGTCTACTCCCCTAGAGGGGCCTTGGTGAGATCCCGAACACTCTCTCACCGGGCAGAAAAACTGAGCAAATGTTTTCACTGCCATTTTGAACTTCCAGTCCACCCTTACCCCTTGCCTACAGAGACACTGGGGAAGGGGGCCAAGAGCACCGTCCCCAACCCCTGCGGGACCAAGAACCCAGTCCTGGCCCTACACCCAGAGACCTGTTAGAGCCACATGCATTCCCTGGGCATCAGTGATACCCACTCCCACGGCCTGAGACCTACAAGAGCCATGCAAGTCCTGTGAGCGGCCGCAAAGTTCCTGGCTCTTGGCACCCAGGCCAGGTGGGCCCAGAAATGCTTACCAGACTCGCACACACCCCGCAGGCAGCCACTGAGTTCCCCGCTACTAGAACCCAAGCCAGGTGGGTCCAGAACCGCTTGCTAGTCCTGCGCACACCCCATGGGCCACGGTGGAGTTAGCCACCACCAACACCCATGCCAGGTGGGCCCAGAACTGCCTGCTAGAGCCACATGCTCCCAGCATCCCCAGATGGAAGCCTGAGAATTACAAAAGGATGGTTAGTTGAGAGGGAACCACAATAGAATAGCAGTACTCCAAGGCGAAGAACAGAAGTGGCAGCACTGGGAACAATAAGGCTCACACCCCAGAGGCTCTACAGAACAGACAGGCTCTGCCTCTCTGGGCAACAAGAGGACGCCAGCACCTTCTCCAGTGGAAGCCACTGACTGAATGGTTCTGATAAAGACTCCAAACAGTGTAAATTCAGCATGAGGTAGAATCAGTGGAAAAACCCTGGCAACTTGAATAACCAGAGTAGATCAACTCCCCCAGAGAAAAATGAGGCAGACACAATTGAAGACCCTATCCATAAACAGATGGCTAAGATGTCAGAAATCAAGTTCAGAATTTGGATGGCAAATAAGATTAACAGAATGGAAGAAAGGAGGAAATTAGAATTTCAAGAAATTATCCAAAAGATGTCTCAAGAATTCAACAATTTCAAAGATAAAATGACCAAAGATTTTGAAACATTGAGGCAAGAGTTTGAAGCCCTCAAAGATCTAAAAAATATGGTAGA